TGCTCAGAACATTTCCAAGAAATTAAATAGCTAAGGAGCTATTTATACATACCCTATTCTCACAAGTTATCTTTTTTTTTTTTAATTCCCTGATCTTTTGCAAAAATGTACCGGAAAGAGCAATAATTCATTAACATTGCAGGACAATAGCAGTTTCCAGTAGTTTAAGATTCCAACGTTTGCCGAAACCGGTTTGGCTCAGTGGATAGAGCGTCGGCCTGCGGACTGAAAGGTCCCAGGTTCGATTCCGGTCAAGGGCATGTACCTGGGTTGCAGGCACATCCCCAGTGGGAGATGTGCAGGAGGCAGCTGATTGATGTTTCTCTCCCATCGATGTTTCTAACTATCTATCTATCTCCCTTCCTCTCTGTAAAAAAATCAATAAAATATATTAAAAAAAAAAAAAGATTCCGACGTTTTAAGTACATTTCACGATGAGACACCAAAGAAATCTCAGGTTGTGATTTCTGGAGTGAAACACGGACGCGTTTGCAGAATTCCCTTCACGGGTCTCCACGGGGCTCGCGCATGGGGTGCAGGCTCAGGACGAGTCCCTGTGGCCTGAACGGAGTCAGGACTGACCAGACCCTTCCGCAGGGGACCCTGGGGGTCAGCTGCTTGATAGTGTGAAAATGTGATTTCGGACTGGAAGTCATTCTCCAACATAAAAAACAAAACCACCACGTGACATTTCCTAACACATTCATCTTGTTTTAAAGCACCTCCTATGGGTACTGAGTTAGAGTTAGCCTCTTGTAAGATTTGATATATCACAGTCACTGAGCTTAACAAACCACACTAAACTAACCCCCACATCTTTATGTTCATTTGGGTAAATAACTAGACAACATAAAGGCTTTCCCTGAAGCAAGACACTCCCTAAGTGAACACGTGGCTCCCTCTTGTGGTCAAAGCGAACCTCACATGCACAGGCTAATGGGGCTGGCTTCATGCCTCACCTATTCCCCCAAATTAAGCAGCTACATTAATATTACCCTGAATTGCCCGGCCAGCGTGGCTCAGTGGTTGAGCATTGACCTATGAACCAGTTCGATACCCAGTCAGGGCATATGCCCAGGTTGTGGGCTCGACCCCCAGTGAGAGGTGTGCAGGAGGCAGCCAATCAATGATTCTCTCTCATCATTGATGTTTCTCTCTCCCTCTCCCTTCTTCTCTGAAATCAATAAAAATGTATTGAGCTATTGACCAATGAAAATATTTTTAAATAATAAAGTAAAATAAAAAGTTACCCTGCATTACTAATGTGACTAAATACACACCATCCAGGCAGTAGTGTCCCAACCACTGGGGATGGCTTCAGCTGCCCACCTCCAGAGGGAGGCGAGGATGGCCCACTGACATTTGCGCAGGTTAATAAAGGCCATTGATAAACTTCACCTTCTCACAATGCATTTCATCTTATCTGCCAACGTAAGACACAAGATGCTGATCTCCCATAGCTCCGCAACTATGTGTGACCTCCATAGAAGCCTGTACTGAGGAACTGATTTTAAAAGAAATACCAGGTTTCTTCGGTCACGCCAATAGCCAAGTCAAAGTATTGGGAGCGTGTAAAAGGCCGTGCGCTATTTGCACTGAGAAAGAAGGGGTCTCTATGGGATGGAAGCCCTACAGTCTCTTACTCACCTGGGCAGCTAGGTCCCTTGGCCTAAAGGAGTCTCATCTACAGTGAAGTAGGCATTTTCATGCCCTTCTCCGATCCCCCTTCCTCCTCCCAACACACTAAACCCAAAGCCACCATCTGTTAAGCATCTGAGGAGCGAAGGGCAAAACTCACACGTCATCAAGGTCAGGTCTGAAAGCCGAGTCCAAGTATTTTACCAGTTTTGTGGTCCAAAGACAGACTCGCTGCTCCCTAAAGCAAGCTGACAGGAAAACAGTGTCACTTTTTGGCATAATAGTCACCATATTAAATGATACAAATGTTAGAAAACAAAGTGGGTGATTCTGATCTTCTGGGCCCTTTTTAGACAGTGTGACAAATGCAGGGAGTAAGGAGAGAGTATGTTCAACCCAAACACAGATGCTCCTGGACGTAAAATGGGGTTACCTCCATAAACGTGTCCAAAGTTAAAAATATTGTAAGTCAAACACGCATCTAATACCGCACTGTAGAGTGTCGGCTGTTTACTCCTGATCATGGGGCTGACCCTGGGCTGTGCTTGCTGCCGCTGTCCAGCATTAGGAGCAAGTAATGTAAGCATATCACTAACCCAGGAAAAGATCCAAGATGCAAAATATGCCTGACCAGTATGACTCAGTAGTTGAGTGTCGACCTATGAATCAGGAGGTTCGGTTCCGTTCGATTCTGGGTCAAGGCACATGCCCGGATTGCAGGCTCAATCCCCAGTAGGGGGCATGCAGGAGGCAGCTGATCAATGATTCTCTCATCGATGTTTCTATCGCTCTCTCCCTCTTCCTTCTTCTCTGAAACCAATAAAAAGATATTTTCTTAAAAAAATAATAGAACTGTTAAAAGAAAGAAGAGAAAGAAAGATGCAAAATTCGAACAACTATTACTTTCGAAACACCATAAAATCAAAAGATCGTAAGTGAAGCACTTAAGCCAGGGACCATCTGTGCACAGTATTTACATGGGACCAAAGGGAGTCTGGTTGATGTTCTTGTTGAGAATCCCTAATAAAAGGGGAAAAGGAGAAGCAGATTCTAACAGAAACTCAAAATGTTTAAACGTTTTACATACACACACACACACACACACACACACGTATATATATAATGATTTCAGAAAGGGAGAGGGAGAGCGATAGAAACATCAGTGATGAGAGAGAATCATTGATTGGCTGCCTCCTGCACACCTCCTACTGGGGATTGAGCCTGCAACCCCGGCATGTGCCCTTGAATGGAATCAAATCTGGGGCCCTTCAGTCCGCAGGCTGACGCTCTATCCACTGAGCCAAATTGGCCAGGGCTGTTTAAATGTTTTTCAAGCCATGTATTGCCAAACCTTGATCTCACAGTGGAGCAGGAAATGTGAATGCTAACTTGACAATGAGCCCTCCCTGCCACTCCCCTGGATGCAGGGAGCAGAATCCTGCTCCTATTTATAAAATCAACAGTCCTAAGAATGATCTATTTAAATGCAAGAGTTGCTAAGTTTTTTATTCTCTGTAGGCCTGCAACCTCATAATTGCTTCAAGACCTCAGCCCTCCTTCCAATGTTAAAAAAGAAATTATGATTTCCAAATGAAAATAACTAAGTCCAAGATTTTGTTTCTAAATTTAAAATGAATGTGCTGTTTAATCCTTAAGAGCAGAAAAGAAAATGCATATAAACTTAAGAACTTCTTAAACAAGCTTCCCTTAGTTTTCACTGCCAAAACGACACAACTAAAATATTTCAAATGAGTGATTCCTTTTATAACTCAACCATGAAACAATTTATCAAAATATCTTATTTCTGTACTAATTGCCTCAAAAAGAAAAATGTTCACTGACCCAGAACATTCCATCTAGACAGGAACTGGACACAACACAGCACCAAAGGGAAACATTTCAGCGAAGTATTCGTGTACTAAGGAATTAATGTGAAGAATAAGTTACTGTGACCTTTCCCCCAAAATTGCTTTTAGAAAAAAAGCACACCTTATTCTAATATAACTGCATGAAAAACATTTCAAATTTATGCATTTAGCATTTGAAGCCAAATGGGAAGTCCCCGGTTTTTCTTTGCAATTAGTTGAAAAGTTATATACTTGCAATTTATATAAACCAAAAGAAGTAAAATGAGTCATGGAAAGTTCTATCCCAACGGAGCAGACTTAGTTAAAAAAATAAAATAGGTAGGATGGGGGGGAGAAAGGCTTGACAAAACAGCTCTCATTTTAAAACACTGAAATGTGTCCTCATCTCATTTCCCAACCCGTCAGTGATTTCACCGGGGCGTCCGCCGGGCAGGGCTTGAATTGCTCAATAAGACGCTGTTCTTTCGGACCGGCTGGCGATTGTTCCCTCACGAGGACTCTCACTTTGGGACTCGGAGCACCACCCCAAGGACCACACAGCGATGACTTCATCCATCCCCGGAGGCCGGGAGCTGAGGGCCCAGGAGCTTCACATGGTCATCCGAGCTCTGCTCCGGCCTCCAGTCTGCCCGGGCGCTAACAGACTTGGACGCACTCGGAAGGCAGCATTAGTGAACAGACAGGGTGAGCCGAGACTGTACACATAAAACACGACACTTACTGTGCTAAAGAACAGATTTTATTTATCATTTTCCCAAAACACTAAAATAGCACATGGCATCTAGCACACAATATAGACTGATATATGCAATCCATCATCCCGGAAATGGCTGTCTGGCTCTGGGACGCCTTAACAATTTACACTCCCAAGTGACCTTTATCCAAGTTATCAACACACAACAAAACAGAGGGACCTCAGGGAAACCTTAGCCAAGAGGCACCTCCACTCCTAGAAGCTGCAAGCCTGCCGCAGGGAAACAGAGGGGCCTCTCTGCCTGGGTCTCCGCTCACATCCATTTCAGGTGACGCTGGTAGGGTTCCCGGTGTGAGAAAGGGTTATTCTAAAGGTGAGCTTGATGTTGCCAACTTTCACTGTACGGCCTCCATTAAAATTTCATGTCACGTGGGAGGAAAGGAAGGCGAGAAAAGAAATCAAATTTTTCTCCCGACCAAAATGATTCTACAAAATGCAGCAATGGTACCAGCACATCATCAACTCAGCAAGGCCTCGAGCAGGTGGAGGGCCCGACGTCACAAACACCCGCTTCCAGGAGATGGTCAGCCAGCCCGGGAGACAGCGTCTGGGACAGGAGCCCTTCGGATGGGTGACGGTGTGTAGGGGACTTTATGTTACATCTTTACGGTCTAATCTGACATTTATGCAGGTTATGATCCTGTTCTCCCCGAAACGGTCTCCCGATCCTGAACGGCTTGCAAGCACAATTTAAAACACGCTCAGAAATGTCCTTCCACGTCACCAGCTTTCCACGAGTTTCAGTCCCACTCGCTGAAGTCTGTCAGGACACAGAAACCAGGGCAGGAACCTCGCGGCTGCACTGTTGGCATCAGGCAGACTGGAAAGAAATCATCCTAGGACAACTTGTAAAGGAAGCTCACTATTTTTATTGTGCAGCTTGTACCTTAACCACGGCATCATGGCTTTGCTGCTTCAGAAGCCTGCACAGCCGAGGTGCCGGCGCCGCGGCAGGTCCGCGG